ACAAAAAGGTGATCAAAGTCTCTCTCTCCCTTTCTCCCTTCCTCTATCATTGAGAAGGCAAACAATTTGATACATATACAGTCAAAACATATTTCCATATTAGCCATGTTGTGAAAGAAAACACAGACAAACCCCCCCAAAACAAAGAAAAAACCCTCTGAAAAAAATAAAGTGAAAAATAGTATGCTTTCATCTGCGTTCAGACTCCATCAGTTCTTTCTCTGGAGGCAGAGAACATTTTTCATCATAAGTCCTTTAGAATTGGAAGAGGCATTACCTCTTGTGGGAGAAGTTTTCTATAGATGTTTCTGTTTGCTGATAATTGTCTTGATTATACTGGGCCCTGGGTCTTATTAAGAAGATCTATGGTCATTTAAAAGAAATTGGCCAAAGCAGATGAAAAACACATGTTGCCTAGATCAGCACTTCTTAAACTGTGGGTCACAACCCCATATGGGGCCATGAAAAATTTGGCAACAGTAAAAGGTTTCGGAACACACAAAACCAAAAACTAATTCAAAATCAAACACGCAATGAATCCGAGGTGTTTCTGGCAGCACTTGCTCGTGTTGCATTGTGTAACTTCAGTGCAGCCTTGGTTCTGAACACAAAGCATGTGTACTTTGCACTGCACATGCCCTCAGACCATACAATACCAACAGACACTGCAGAAATGCCCAAAGGGTTTGGGAGTGGAAAAAGTTTAAGAAGCCCTGGCCTAGATTAGGCCATAGAGTCAGACAGGTGACCTATTGAATTAGCCCATCTGTTTAGGTATCTTGACTGAGTATTATAGATGGACCCAGAATTGGGACAGGGAGAGTATGCTGGGTCACATTTGGGAAACTACCAAGTACTTTCAATGTACTGCTCCATTTTTTAATGCCAGAATTCTTCTGGTGATGCTATGTGGCTGTGAATCATGAAATGTTATCCCAGAAAACTCACAAATGCAGTTGGGCCAAAAGTCAATTGAAAGGTATAAGCATCCTATTATTAACAATGACTTGCATGTAAGAAATGTCACAAAAGACCTATCAGACATATCAGAGATCCACTACTGGAGGTAGACCAAGCATATATTGAAGAGCGAGGGCCTACTAGAACAACACTGTAGCTATCTACCTATTGGTGGGTAGTCATAGTAGCCTCCCAAATGAAAAGAACCAGTGGAAGATTAGTGCATTGCGTGGGTCCCTTCTGGGGGTTTATGGAAATATATGGACAAAGATTAAGCAAAATGAAAAGGTGTGGCTCTGCTAGGCAAGAGCTCTCTAACTGATGATATCACACACCCACTGAAGTGCTGCTGACAGTTTGACCCAAGCATCAGGGAAGAAAGAAAAATAATCACGTTTTTTCAGTCAATATATTTTCAGCTTGAGTTGAATGCAGAGGTGCTGATGAGAGGTAATCTCTAGCACATTATTTAATTGAGTGAGCACAACTCAGCTGGGAAAAGTAGGTGAGAATTACCTAAGAAAATAGCTCCAACTACAAGTCCTAAAGAACTTAGCTAGAGGGCAAGACCCTAGATATTAATAAGAGCCAATCGGTCAGGTGATGATGGCACATCAAGGAGAGGGAAAGATTGAAAGAGTTGATGTATTGTTGATAGATATAAATTGATCTTCTAAGTTAACATATCTCTTTGAGAGATGGTAGTGTTAAAGTTGAGACAAGGCAGTGTTAAAGCAGAGATACTAATTTAGTTTTAAGTCATTTAGTTATGTAAGGAGGTTAATGAGCTGGGCATATCAGCAGGAATTCAGGACATTCCAGCTATGCTTCACTCCCTTCAGTGTTGCTAAGGGCCATCTTGAGGCTTACTTAGACTACAGGGTAATTTGTCTGCTCCTGGCACTACCTGTCAGACACTGGAAGGGAGATGAAAGGAATTTTCCTACCCCAACCAAAATATCAAGCAAGTCTAGGGAGATTTCCCTTTGAGGGGAAATGGTTTGAGTAGGGGCTTTTTTTCTGTGCCAGCTGGGTGTAGCTGTGGCTGTGGCTAGGGACCTGACTAACAAAAGAGTCTAAAACCGCTGATTCACTCTGGCCATATTTTATCGGGGCAGTCTCAGAAAAGAGCAATGCAACTCCTTCTGAACAAACTTCTCTTAGTGCTTGACTTCTTCCTCTCACATTTCTTCCCTCTTCTTACACTCACCCCCCAGGGCATTTTCCATCTTTTCTCAGAGTTTGGCAACTGGTTCATGGTCTTCCACTCTACCACAACCCTTGCCATTATACTTGGGGATTTTATCATGTGTGTATATTTCTCCTCCAAACTCCCTGGACTCCCAGATCATCTACTTCAACTCTTGGGATCTGTGGCTTCACTCTACCTCAGCCACATAGGAGGATGGTGGTCCCATTGTTGATTTCAACATCACCTGTAACAATTTGACTTTTTCTACAATTATCCATAACTCTGAAATTCTTATCTGACAACAACCTCTTTTCCTTCTATCATTCCTTTCTCCCCATTCTTCCTAAACTTATTCACAATCTTTGTTACAACTTCTTGTCTCTCTATCCTTTCCTGCTGGACCAGTCCATTAGTCAGCAGAGGCCTCCTTCCTTTGAAATCTCAATCCCGTAGTTAACCAGCTCCACTTTACATCGTCTATCCTCTATCCTTGAATTCTTTACCCTCTTATCCTGTCACCTGTCATTGTTTTCCAAATCCCAACCTTGGAATATTTCTTCATCCACCTTCTCTGCTCCTACGCACATACTGCTAATCCAATGGAGAAAGTAGCAGAACTGCTGACTAGGTCCACTGAATTGTTTGGAGGAAAATTATTCTATGTATTGCTACTAGAAACATTAGCATTTTTGCTGTTGTAAAAATCTGTAGTCATTTGAATGTCAAGTTTTACTGAATGATTTCATTCTTTCTTTGTTAGTTTTGGAGCTGTTCTAACACTCATTCTCAGCTACCAATAATCATGTTATTGATAAAAGGACAGTGGATCAGAGAGAAGAGTTTGGCTGTAAGCTCTTCTCAACTGATTATTCACCTCACAACAAACAATTGGATAGATTGAAGGGGTCTGCACATTGTTTATCTTCAAATGAGAACTCCATGAACCAGAGTGGCAAAGTATGAGGGAGGCCATATGGGTAAGGATGGAGGGAGAAGAGGAATGAACACAAGTGTGGTCATGGTGATATGAATGTGTTGCAAATACTTGACTCTCTTTCTCTGTCCTCTCTCTCTTCTTCCTCCTCTGTTTTTCTCTCTCCTCTCTCTCTGTTTCTCCTCTGTCTCTCTTCTCTCTTTCTCTTTCATTCTTTCTCTTGCTCCTCTCTGTCTCTCTGTCTTTCCTTTCTCTGTGTCTCTCTTGGTCTCTCCTCTCTGTCTGTCCTCTGTCTCTCTTTCCTCTCTCTCTCTCTCTCTCTCTCTCTCTCTCTCTCTCTCTCTCTCTCTCTCTCTTCTCTCTCTCTCTCTCTCTCCTCTTTCTCTGACTCTGTCTCTTCTCTCTGGCTGGCTGGCTCCTCTGTCTCTCTCCTCTGGAAGCTATCTCTCCCTTCTCAAATTCCTTATACTAGTTTGTTTAGACCTCTCCTTTGTGTTTATTACATTCTTCCTTGCATTGAAGTTATTCCTATATGTGTCTTCTGCCACCTATTGAGTTACACATTTTTGTATTTCATTTTACACCTCAGCTGAGGCTGTACCTTTACATGGGAAATTCTTATTAATGAAGAAATGAATGATTGAGTGAATGAATAAGAAAGCATTCATTAATTACTTACTCTGTGGGAAGCACTGTGCTAAGCCCTGGAGATATAAATAGAAAAGTAAGCCAGTCTCTGCTCTCAAAGAACTCACATTCTAATAGGAAGAGATGACCAGATAGGAGGTTTCAGATGTAAGGAAAGGCATCAGGACTTCCTGTGAAATGTCACTCTGCTTGACCAAAGACTATTTTTATACTTAGTCTGAAGTCTAAGATTGATTGATTCAGGAGAGAAGTATCCTCACCTGGTTAAAACAGCATGACTTAGCTCTTTGGCACTTTGGAGGCAGCTAGGTGGCACAGTGGACTGGGCTTATAGTTAGGAAGACATGTGTTCAATTTGACCCCAGACACTTAACAGCTGCGTGGTCCTGAGCATGTCATTTAACTTCAGTTTCTGTAAAATGGGGATAATAATAGCATCTATCTCCCAGAATTGTTGTGAGGATCAAATGAAAAAATAATTGTAAAGGACTTAGGACAGGGCCTAAAGCAGTGCTATATAAATGGTAGCTGTTTTTGTTGTGGTTTTTTTGGTCATGTCTGACTCTTCATGACTCCATTTTGGATTTTCTTGGCAAAGATACTGGAGTGTTTTGCCATTTCCTTCTCCAGCTCATTTTGCAGATTAGGAAACTGAATTAAGTGACTTGCCCAGGGTCACACAGCGTAGTGAGTGTCTTGAGGCTAGATCTGAACTCAAGTCTTCCTGACTCCAAGCCTGGTGCTCTATCCACTGTGCAACCTAGCTGCCCTCCTACAACAACAACATTAAATGGGCGGAGCGATTTGATTGACTTGCTCAGTCAACACCTTACACTTACATAAACATGAGTTATCATTATAGAACAGTACAGTTGGAAGGGACCTTAGAGGTTATCTAATCCAACTCTCATTTATGGATGAACAAACTTGGACCCTTTAGAAGTTAAGTGATTTGACTAAAGTAATGCAGCTGGACCATTCTCTGGAGTCATTTGTATTAAAAAGAAACCCAAAAGGAAACAAAATCCACTATACTATGTGGCAAAGTCAAATGTGCTTCTGTGTCTTAGGTCTATTCAGACTGAATGAAGTCCTTACACATATTGAACCTCCCTTTCTCTCTCTCTGTCTGTCTGTCTCTCTCCCCCTTTGTCTTTCTCTATCCTCTCTTCTGCCTTAATTCTATTCAGGAAAGTGAAATAATCATATTAATTTTTAACCATATACCTTATGGTTTTAAGAGAGTTACTGATTACTCACAGAGGTAGGTAAATTTTCATATTTCTGAGATGGCATTTTCCATCTGAAATCTGCTTCTCAGTGCTTCAAGTCCTTGCAAAATTCAGGCCTAGAAATTCAGATCAACCGAGTTTAATCAGGCTTTTGGAACCAATCCAAACCTTGCTGGATTTGCTGCTTCAATACCCATTTCATGCCAAATTTGGCCAGAGTTCACTGAAAGGTTTGTTGCTTCCTCATCTTCCCAGCTGAAAGTTTTTTCTTCTTTTTCAAATATTCCCAGATTGGGGCAGCTAGGTGGTACAGTGGATAGAGCACTGGCCCTGAAGTCAGGAAGACCTGAGTTCAAATCCGGCCTCAGACCAAACACTTGACACTAGCTGTGTGACCCTGGGCAAGTCACTTAACCCCAATTGCCTAAAAGCAAAAACAAAAAAAAAAAACCCCGCAAACCCAAATATTCCCATATCATTTTACCTGAATCTTCCCTGGGCTTCTAACTCTCCCCACGACGTGTTGCATTTATTTGTGTACATGTCATATCTCCACTCCCACCCCACCCTTGTCCCCAGAAATACATAAGCTCCTTGAGAATAGCTATTGGGTCATTTTTGTCTTTGTCTCCTTAGCACCTAGAATAGGTAGGGCCTCTACTGAGAAAGCACTTCGTAATGTTCAAGTTTCTTGTTAAGAGTCGTCTGTTTTGATATCTGTGGATCACAAGTGGTATTTTTAAACAAAACTCCAAAGCAGGTGGTTTTTCAGAGTTTAACATGAGCAATGACGACAGTCACTCCTCTTCTTTCCCATCTTCATGGAGCACACTTGGTTTGCTCATCTCTATTTCCAGAAACCCGCTGTGCCCATTTATGGTCACTAGAGGGCAGACTATCTAAAAAAAAAAAACAAACCAAAAAAACCCCAGCAACTCTTATCAGACTGCAGTAGACTGCAGTGTCCAATGATAGGACCCAGCTGCAGATTTCTCACATTACTGTTTCCCCCAGAAACAAGGAGCAATTACTTGAAATTCTCAGGCAACAAGATGAAACCAAGGCGTTTTCTGCAACATTAGCCTTGTGGAATGCTGGCTTTGGGAGAGCTCTTCTCTGCTTATATTGTATGGGTTCTCAACCTTCCTGAACAGCCCATAATGAGCTACAGTGATCTCCCTAGAGGCCTAAAACAAAACATATACCAGGTCAGGGTTCTTAACCTGGTATATACTTCAGAGAATCTGTGAAGTTGAATGGGGAAAAAATTACCTCTTTATTTCTGCTAAGCTCCAACTGAAATTTAGCATTTTCTTCAATTATTAATTTGAAAAAACAAAGAAACAAAATCAGTATTATTCTGTGGAAAGGTCCATAGGCTTCACCGGGATGCCATTTGTGTCGTGGTGTAGGGACCTCCTTGTGAGGAGACTCCCTCTATCAATGCAGATTAGTAGCTGTTCTGCCATTTGAAGACTGAGAGATTTGTTTGCGATCCCAAGAGGTTAGATGACTTGTCAAGGGTCACGTGGTCAGCATTTGGCAGAATGGGACTTGAACACAGGTCTTTCTGACTCTAGCTCCCTACCCATTACACCGTTGCCGTTGGCTGCCTCTTATCCTATTCACTGGCAGAGAGGAAAAAAGGTGGTGTTTTCTGTTGAATCATTCCTCTTGGGATAATGTGTCTCACATTATTAACAACCCAGAGTCAGCCACACTTACTGTTCTGACAGTTGCTGAATACTCTGATTCTCATTCTGCTTAAGGGGATTATAATAGTGTGCAAAATTGGGCATTAGGCAAATCCTTGCCTGCTAAAACAACAGTACCTTTTCAGTATGAGTGACAGCATTAAAAAAAGGTTGAGATCAATATGAAAACTGGCGGGGATTTACAGCCCAATAGAAAAGAACACACATTTTGTTCCCATGTCAACCACTTCTATGTCTGGATTGATTTTCCCCCAACTGGTGTCAAGATTAATTCAGCGTTTTCCAGTAGACAGTGATCTCAATCCCATCTAATGACTTAGATGAGGAGTTCAGCCAGTTGACTGGCAATACCTGCAAAGCCATATTATTTTATAGGATGTTCATTGTATTATCTTCCTCATCAGCCACCCAGCCTTGAATTTGTTATAATGAACCAGTGGTATAGTGGAAAAAAATCAAAGACCCTGAGTTCAAATCCTGGTTTTTGCCACCTATTGCCTATATCGCCCTGGGTGAATTATTTCCCCATTCAAAGGTCTTAGTTTCTGCAACTATAAAATACAGGTGGTTGCATTAAATCATCTCCAAGGTCCCTTCCAACTGAATACATGAGGTCCTTTGCCTATGCTTTATCATAGCAGAGATCTATCTTCTCCGATAGTGCGGAGTGAAACTGAATGGATTTGTTGTTACTGTGTAGTCAGTTACTCATGTCTGCCTCTTTGGGACCCCATTTGGAGTTTTCTTGGCAAACATGCTGGAGTGGTTTGTCATGTCCTTCTGTAGCTCATTTGACAGATGAGGAAACTGAGGCAAACAGGGTTAAGTGACTTGCCCAGGGTCATACAGCTTAGTGAGTGTCTGAGACTGGATTTGAACTCAGGTCCTCCTGACTCCCAGCTCTGGGCTCTATCCTTTGCTCCACCTAGCTTCCCTCCATAGATAGAGATTATTTCATATACTTCAAATAAGGAGGGAGAAGAATGAGCCTGCATTTCCAAAGCAAGGAAACAAAGCCCAGACTGTGTTATACCATTAGCTAGCATAGAATGAGGAAGGGAACTTCATGGATAAATTAGGGAAGCCAATCAGAAAGACTTACCCTTGGGCAGTTAGGCGAAATCCACAACCAAAGCAACTGAGTGGCTACACCTGGAAAGAAACCCAGAAGTTAGAGTGGCCTCATCATGCAATTTATTGTCTTAGCTGGAATTCCACCTGCCCACACTTTTCTCCTGAAATAGGCATGGCTAAGGTGGGAAAGGGGTACATTTCCAAAGCCAGGGCTCAGTATGAGGGAAAAAGAAGGACTCTATTTCCAAGGAAGCCATGTCCTTGTGGTACAAGACTTCTGGGAATACAAAGAAAGGATGGATTGTGGGGCTGGCTTCATTATCACAGTGTCTTAAAAAATAGCAGCAGCAAAAGCAGATTTTTATGTTGGCCTCTATATGCATAGTCCTACCTTGAGCAGAACAAGAAAATGAAATATCTTGGTGATGAAAAAGATGCCAAACAGTGACTGTGACTAAGAGTAATGAATATTGCCTTTGGTAAGGCAAGCTTACCACTGTAAGGAGATCGTGGTGACCAGAGAAGAGGCGAGGTATGAACCTGAAGTCTTCCCTGAAGTCTTCTGGTCTGGGACCCATCCAGGATTAGGCTCAGGCTGCTACCACTTTGTCCTTGCCTTCCCTATCCAACCTGTGCCTTAGGTTCAATCATCTTGCCTCCGAGACTACACAGAGGGGACTGGGTCTGAAAATTAACTCACTTGGGGATGTAGGTAGGATTTTCTGTTGCTCTGTTATTCATTTCTGTCCCAGTTAAACACCTTACTTTTTCAAGACTGTATCTTATCTGGGTCTGTTGGCATGGCAAGCCACTGAATTCCTGGATCCAAGTCAACTCCAGAGGTTCCAGGTATTCTAACTGAATGGAGGCAAAAGTGGGGGCCAGAGAAGTAAATTGCCTTAGAAAATCCCTACTGTTTGAACCCAAGTCAAGGTCCAGAGTTGGCCGGATCATAGGTTTACGTGTAAATTCCACAAAGGAATCCATTCAGCTCCCAGTATCCATACTCTTAATGGCCTTTCTGCTACTATCTCAACTTCTCTTTTCCCTCCTCTCTACAGTCATTGCTTCAGCATGGTGTGCCTTTTTTTTTTTAATAACTTTTTATCTATAGGGATAAAGAGCTTAATGTTTCATGCATACCAAAGAAAGTGTTGTAATGAATTCTGTATGGTTGGAAAATGTTATCACAAATAAATAAGCATTAGGCCCCAACTAGGGATTTATGCCAATAAAAGCAACATTCTCTTGCTTCTAAGGAGCCAACATCCAGACTGCTGTATTTATAATGGTAGCTAAGGCCATCTAGATGGCTCTGGTTCCATCAGTAGGCCCTTCCTGCCCTGACCTCCAGGCTCTCTGGCTCAGCAGGGCTCAGTAGGTGTAGAACTCAGATAGTATAGAAATAAAAGGCTCCAGAAAGTAGAAATTTCAACCTGCTAATCACTATGAGAGAGAGTCTGTTCCCAAGAAATCAAATGCCCAAGTCTCAGCCACTGAAATGGCCAACGTCTGAGATACTTGAGACTAAGATGATTTTTAGGCTTCCAATATTTCCTAATGAATAAGGAAGGGTTCAGCTGCTATAAATTTTCTAAATTTATAGCTCAGTCCCTAAATATGAACTGCTTCAGGCTGGCAACAATGAGAAAGAAGAAGGGGAGTAGAAAGTCAAAGGTGGTCTGTTTCCTCCCTTCCACTGGGAGACATGATAACTGAAACCTCAAGATGTGTTACTTAGAAATCTAGAGAATTTTCCTGTGAGTCCACATACAAGTATCAAGAAGTCAACTGTCTTTACCTGAGCTAAGTATATGCAACTATAACCAAGAAAGACTAGATGGAAAACCTGGGGTGACTGACTCAGTTCTCTCCTCTAGCAGAGTGGCCTTGGAGCTTCAGCCAGAGCATATCTATAAGCCGCTTTGTAACGTAGTCACATAGGGAGTGGTGTTGGGTGAGAATGAGCTTGGTGAAGATAAAAGACTGGAAACCTTGTTTCTGTTTGACATAAGAGTATATTCTAACAGGGGTGGGGAACCTGCAGCCTCGAGGCCATGTGTGGCCCTCTAGGTCCTCGAGTGCAGCCCTTTGACTGAATCCAAACTTCACAGAACACACAAGTTAGGATTCAGTCAAAGAGCCGCACTTGAGTACCTGGAGGACCTCACGTGGCCTCAAAGGTGCAGGTTCCCCCCCCTGCCTGACATATGAATAGAGGCATTCAAAGAAAATATAGACTAGGAAAGCTTATCCCTGGTCTAATCTGCTTGCTCTTGAGCAAGAATTCTTAACCTGAGATTCCAGGGAATTTGTGAACTTGGTTAGGGGGAAAAAAATGACATCTTTACTTTTACCTTAACCACTAACTGAAATTCAGTGTTTCTTCCAATTATATAAAAATATTCTGAGAAGGGGTTGTCCACAGGTTTCATCAGATTGCCAAAAGGGTCCATTACATAAAAAAAGAACCTTGATCTAGATAGAATTCGAAGGGATCTCAGAGGCCATCTAGCAAAATCCTCTTATTTTATAGGGGAAGATACTGAGGCCCAGGGAAGGAAAATGACTTGCCCAGGTTCATGCAAGCTGTAAGCTTCAGAGATGGGATTTGAACCCAGGTGTCTTGAATCACCTCAACCCTCTGAGATGGGCTGAACAAGAAGTAGCATCTCCATTTTTTTATTTAGTATTTTATTTTTCCCTAGTTACATGTAAAAACAATTTTTAACATTTGTTTTAAAACTCTGAGTTCCAAATTCTCTCCCTTCCTCCCTCCCCACCCCCCCAATTGGGAAGGCAAGCAATTTGATATAGATTATATATGTATAGTCATGCACGACATATCCATAATAGTCATGTTGTAAAAGAAAACACAGATAAGAAAAAAAAACAATAAAAATCAAGTTAAAAAATAGTAAGCTTCAATCTGTATTCAGACACCATCAGTTCTTTCTCTGGAGATGAATAGCATTTTTCATGTTAAGTCCTTGGATTGTCGTATTGCTGAGAATAGCTAAGTCATTCACAGCTGATCATCTGACAATATTGCTGTTACTTTGTACACAGTACATTTCACTTTGCATCAGCCCATTCGAGTCTTTCCAGATTTTTCTGAGAACATCCTGCTCGTCATTTCTTACAGTACCATAGTATTCCATCATAATCACGTACCACAACTTGTTCAGCCATTCCCCAGTTGATGGGCATCCCCTCAATTTCTAATTCTTTACCCCTAGAAAAGAGCTGCTATAAATATTTTTGTACATATAGGTACTTTTCCTTTTTGTTTTTTAGCTCTTTTGGGATACAGACCTCGTAGTGCATTGCCAGGTCAAAGGGTATAGAATCTCCATTTTACAAATAAGTAAAATGAGGCTCAAGGAAGCTGAGGAACTTTGCCCAAGCCAGGTTTTGAAGCCAAGTCTCCAGCCAACACATTAAGTGCTTGTTCTACTAAATCTCACTTAAGTAAGCCCTTGAGACACCAACTTTAAGGCCATTAAAATGGGGAACGTGTTAAGAAAGGGACTTCAAGCAAACCTGGTGGAACAGAGCTTTTCCCACATCCCTTTAGAACCACCTACCTGAAGACAGAAGGATGGAAATATGGTCTGATTACACAGTGGTGTGTTGACCAACAGGACTGCTTGTTTGCGGTGATCGCTTTTTGTAGTTCTCTTATAGTTCTTCCTATCTTCGTTTTGTTTCTCTTTTGTTGTCCTTTCTCTTTATCATCATTTTCCCCCTTTGAATCACAAGTATAACAAACGCTTCTTGGAACACCAAAGCTTGTCAGCTTTGAGCAGTCACCAGCAAAACTGTAGTTGTTGAATGAATGATGAAGGAGCTAGCAAGAGCCTGTGTTTTGCCCTTTCACTGGGCTGGCAGTCATTGGAACCAGCTGGATAATCATTTTGTGTAACACATCTGTCTGTTCCCTCAGAGGGTGGTTTTACTTCTTTTTTCAGATGACAGATCATGATAGGCATTTCCTAGCCTTCATTTTCTAAGCATCTTATCCCACTCACATATTCACCTCTATTTGGATCAGGCTCCATTATCTATACCCCAGGCAGATAGGATCTTTTGGGAAAGTTCTGTGTTGAACTTCCTGTGAGCCCAGGCTTGGGAGTTAAGTTTTTTCTCTCCACTCCCCTTTTTGAAAATGAGTTTACAAATCTTGTGGGAAAACTTTTTCCTATTTCAGACTCTTCCTCATTCTTTTTTGTTGTTGTTTCAAAGGAACTCTTAGAGTTGTGGCTTTCACTGCTCTTCTCTTTCCACACAGATTTTTTACTTTAACAAAGAACCATTCATAATGAGGCTCTAGAATGACTTGCCTGCAGAGAGGATGGTGGCAAAATATGTAGTCAGTTCTGTATCATTTACTTTAATAAGGAGGGTAAAGAGCTGTGAATTATACCCCTCCATGAATAATCCTAAAATGATTTGTATTTGACTTTTGGATTGTGGTTAGAATCTCTAACCTGGATATGAATGTGTTGTGGTTGCTCAGACATTTCTCAGCCATATTCATCTGTTTGTGACCCCACTTAGGGTTTTCTTGGCAAAGATACTGTAGTGGTTTGTCATTTCCTTTTCCAGCTCCTTTTACAGATGAGAAAACTGAGGCAAACAGGGTTAAATGACTTACCCAGGGTCACACAACTAGTAAGTGTCTGAGGCTAGATTGGAACTCAGGTTGTCCTGACTTTAGGTCCCCTTGGCAGCCCTGGATATGAATGTACACCTCTGGTATTGGATCAGAGGACTGAGGTTTCGTATTACTTCATGGCTGAGTTGTTTACTACCTACCTCAGAGGGTTGTCGGGAGGAAAGTGCTTTGTAAAACTCAAATTGATAGTTGAGTATGTGAGCTCTTATTACTGATCTTCCAGAGTCCTCTATCTGGGCCTCCTCCTGGCATGAAGATGAGCCTGGGTTCTTAAAGCCAGAGAAACATAAACTAATGAGTCCTTTCACATCGGGAAAGTTTCCAGCACAGGCCTGGAGATAAGATTGGATATTGGCCATGTAGAACTAGTAAACACACATTGGTAGAGTGTTGTTTTAGCACTGAATTTATCAGACACTGTGCAAAGGGTTACAAAAAAACCCCCATGAAATAATACCTGCCTTCAAGGAGCTTATATTCTAACATGGCTGACTCAGGCCATGCCAAGGGTTGGAAGTGGATCTGCATGGGTCTGATCATATCACCTCCTTATTCAATCAACTCCACTGGCCTCCTGTTGTCTCTAGGATCAAATATAAAATCCTCTGTTAAGTCATTCAATGTGCTTCATAACCTGCACCCCACCCTCCTCACCTTTCCAGTCTTTTGTTATACCTTACTCTGCTCCTGCTGGTAGAAAAAGTATTAACACTGATGAAAATAATGGATCACTGAAATCTGGAGATATTATTGTCACGGTTTTTGTTGTTGCTATTATTATTTTTTGTTCAGTCCTGTGTTCTCATCAATGTGGGGGAGCTCCCAGTGAAAGAAACTCCCTTTATCGTGTAGATGCAGATCAGCAGCAATTCAGCAATCACCGTATCATTAAGAGGATAAGTAACTTGTTCAGGGTCACGCAGACCATATTTGTCAGAGGTGAGACTTGAACCGTGGTCTTCCTAATTGGAGTCTGGCCTTCTATCTGTTGATGACATACTGCCTTTAATTCTTTATATGTATGTGTGTATGTATGTGTAGACATATATACATGGGGTGTATAGGGTGTTCAGGGAAGAATGGCACTTCTGGTGTGAGGCTTTGCTGAGCCCTTTTCAGGGCTCCTCATCCACCTTTGATGTCCACCTGCCACCCAACTCTCACCTGTGGCTCTAAGAAGCTGTAGCGTGTTCAGCAGTCACACCCCAGGAAAACCAGCCCAAAAGACAAGCAAAGCCAGGCTGAGGGTAACTAACAGGTCTCAAACATATAGGTGATTTAGGGGGGATGTCTACCCCAAGCATGTGAAGACTTCTCCTGGTGGCTAAAGAACAAGGTGGCTAAAGTAGGTACAGTGGAGTGCTTAGAGCTTGGTCAGGCATCAAATATGCCAAGGTCATCCCCAGCGTTGTGGACCATCAGCAGTCATCCTAACTTTTGTCTTACCTCTGAACTTCAATGACTCTGGAAGAAAGAGTGAGGCTGATGACTTTGCCTAGCTCTGCTTCACTTAAATCCAATTCAGGCAAGTTGAGATATCACCCTCTTGATCTCACTGGTCCTCTTTGAAAACAAAGGTTGAACAACAACGTTTATCCACACACATTAAGCTCTAATAGTTTAAAATGGCACTAAGACTTTTGGGAACCCTACATATGTATCTGCATATACAACAAAACCCTCAGGTGGAAGAAGAAAATCCTTCTTATCCTTCTCAGCTCCAGGGGGTTGAACTAAGCCTAAAGGGAGGCAGATTTTGGCTTAATGGAAGGAAAAATATTCTGAAAATTAAAGCAGGGTTCTTAATCACTTATGAACTCTTTGGTAGCCTGATGAAGCCTATGGAACCCTTCTCAGAATGTTTTGTTAAAAAATTCATAATTAAAGGAAATGCTAAATTTCAGTTAGCATTTAGTGAAAATAAAGATGTATTTCTTTTTCTATCCAAGTCCACAAACTCTCTGAAATCTATATGTAGATACTTCAGGGGTGCCTGGACACCAAGTTAAGAGCCCCCGAGGGGCAGCTAGATGGTGCAGTGGATAGAGCACCAGCCCTGAAGTCAGGAGGACCTGAGTTCAAATCTGGCCTCAGACACATAACACTTACTAGCTGTGTGACCCTGGGCAAGTCACTTAACCCCATTGCTAGCAAAAAATTAAAAAAATTTAAAAAAAATTAAAAAAAGAACCCCCAAATTAGAGCTATAAAAAATGGAATAGGTTGCCTTTTGCAGTAATGAGCTCCCCATTACAAGATTTACTGAAACAGCCTGGATGACTAGGGCTTGTATAAAAGAAGTTCCTACATGGCCTGGAAGGTAGGATCCAACTTAAAAGATATTGTTATTCCTTTTCTTCCTTTTTTTGTTCCTTCCTTCCTTCCTTCCTTCCTTCCTTCCTTCCTTCCTTCCTTCCTTCCTTCCTTCCTTCTTCTCTCTTTCTTTCTCTCTCTCTCTCTCTCTCACACACACACACACAAACACACACACACACACACACACACACACACACACAAATAGGCACATACAATGTGTTGAGGTGCACACTCACTCTAAGTTATAGCCCCGACCCCAACTCTTTTCCATTTCAGCACCAATATAGAATACCAGTGTCTTTGGGTCTAGTACCTCAGTGAATACCACATTTCATGGGAACTATCTTTCCAGTGTTCTTATGTCCTAACACACACTCTTGGATCCGGTGACACTGGCCTCCAGGGTATTCTGCCAACAAGATATCCCATCTCTCCACTCCAAGCATTTTCTCTGACTATCCCCCATGTCTGGAATACTCTCCCTCCTTCCCTCTGACTACTTGACCTCCCTGGCTTCCTAAATCCAAGTGAAAATCCCACCTTCTGTAGGAAACCTTTTCTAATCCTTAATTCAGATGTCTTCCTCCTGTTATTTTTTTTCTATTTACTGTATATCTAGCTTGCTTTTTTTGGGGGGGGGCTGGCAATGCCCAGGGTCACACAGCTAGTAAGTGTCAAGTGTCTGAGGCTGGATTTGAACTCAGGTCCTCCTGACTCCAGGGCCAGTGCTCTATCCACTGTGCCACCTAGCTGCCTCATCTAGCTTGCTTTGTATATATTTGTTGGCGTGTTGTTTCTCCCGTTAGATTGTAAGCTTCAGGAGGGCAGGGACTGTCTCTTTTGCCTCTTTTCATATCCCGGTTCATAGCGTCTTGCCTGGTACAGAGCAGGTTCCTAATAAATGTTTATTGATTTATTTATTGTTGGATTTTAACTCAATAGCTATTGAATGAATTAACATCTAAATGAATGATTTGTCAGGGGGAAGTCTTCAAAGCTGTGGCTGAGCAGCACCACAGACACACAGAACAGAACCCCAAAGTGTCCAAACAAGAAATCTTAGATACCCAAGGAGGGTATCCATGTTTAAAGAAATTTAATTCTCGCTTTTCCACTGGAACCCTAGCTGTTACCTAGGATAAGTGGTGTTTGCCATTCTCGTCATCCTCGTTGTCATCATGCATAGCTTGCACTCCTATAGCTCTTCCCAATTACAAAGCATAATCACAAAGCATTATCTCATTTGTCAATAACTATGAGGTCAGTGGTGCAAGTATTAACCCCATTTACTGATGAGGAAAGTGAGGCCCAGAGAATAAGTGACACTCCTCCTTTCCATTGTCCATTTAAGGAGGACAAAGGCTAGTTTTTCTGGAATGCATGAATCCAGTATATAACTACAAGATGAGGTCTGTCCAGCTCCATTACAACAGTGTATGCACCCTATACCCTGTCATACAGCAGAGGAAAGGGTACCCGCAGTTGAGTCCTAGATGGATCCTCTATCATAGCCCTTTACAGTTTGGCCTTGCCTGTACAGTGCAAACCTAGCCAAAGTGAAATACAGAGAGCTGGAAACTTCTCTCCCCAGCAGAGATGGTATAGATATAGCCCATAAACTGCCAGCTTCATCTTCCCTTCTCATCTTTCTGAGGGATGTCGTTAAGCCATTAAAGGGAGTCAAGCAGGAGGAGGAGAAAGGAAAGTTGTTTTTCTTTGATCTGGGCTAGAAGGCTGCAATTTGAAAAGCTGCAGATTTGAGGCAGGGGCCTAAAGGCTGGCTGCCCACATGTTGTTGATTGGCCCAGTGGATTCTTTGGGATTACTGGAAGGTCTTCTTCCACTTTGAACACTGCAAAAGCTAAATTGAGGTTCTACTCTGCAAACAGGGCTTTTCAGAGGCATCTGGCTTGACTCAAAAAATAAGCCAGGGCTAATGAGAGCTAGACCTCTCTGGTACTGTTGCCCAAATTTAAGACAGTTACCTCTAGGTGGTGCCCAGACCATAATAAATACACACACAAGATGAGGACAAATGTCACCAGCAAACCACAGTCTGAGTAGACTTCATAGCTGGCTGGTTTTCATAAATAAGAAACTTCTCATCCCAAACAATTTTTTTCAAGCTTTTGAATACAAGTTAGAA